TCTATCCGGGGAATACGAAAATGTACCAAGACCTGAAATTAAATTTCTGGTGGCCGGGAATGAAGAAAGAAATTGCTGATTTTGTATCTAAATGTCTTCATTGCCAACAAGTCAAAGCCGAACATCAACGACCCGCAGGCTTATTGCAGCCCTTACCGATACCGGAGTGGAAATAGGAACATATTACTATGGACTTTATCGTTGGATTGCCTCGCTCCAGTAAAGGTATGGACTCAATTTGGGTTATTGTTGATAAACTGACTATATCTGTTCACTTCTTACCTGTCAAGACAATTTATAATGCGGACAAATTAGCTGTAATTTATATTGATGAAATTGTTAGACTGCATGGAGTGCCTGTGTCCATTGTTTCTGACAAGGATTCGAAGTTTACATCAAGGTTTTGGCAAAGCCTACAGACTGCATTGGGTACTGAACTGAGACTGAGTAGTGCCTATCATCCTCAAACAGATGGCCAGTCAGAAAGGACCATCCAGACTCTGGAGGATTTACTGAGAATGTGTGTCCTTGATTTTCAGGGAAACTGGGACAACCATTTGCCATTGGCTGAATTCACCTACAACAACAGCTATCATTCAAGTATTGGTATGGCGCCTTTCGAGGCATTGTATGGTAGAAAATGTAGATCTCCGATTTGCTGGGCAGAAGTTGGAGATGGGCCTTTACTTGGGCCCAAGATTGTGTATGAAACTACAGAAAAAGTAAAACTGATCCAACAGAGACTGAAAACCGCACAGAACCAACAAAAAAAGTTATGCGGATGTCCGAAGGCGAGACAGAGAATATGAAGTAGGTGATCACGTTTTTGTGAAAGTGGCACCAATGAAAGGCTAGACTTGTTTTGGAGTCAAGGGTAAGCTAGCGTCGAGATATGTCGGACCGTATGAGATTATTGAGAAAATCAATCCAGTGGCGTATCAAGTTAAAGTTTTAATAAAAATTTTTTGATGTATGAAACTAAACAGAAATTCGCAAGTCTTTTTCAGTTTTATTTTAACTGAATGTCACACCACAGGCCGGCTTTACTTAATGCGACATTAATTCTTTGTAAGATTAGATATCCTCGGGTCCTCTATTTATTAATATTGTGTCGTCTTTTATATTCTTGTTCTACTTGTTTTGTTGGGTAATTGTGAGACATATGAAACAGAAAAATATTAGTAAAGAGCTAGAGATTTTTAAAAAAATAATTTAATTTATTATTTTAAATAATAATCTTTTAATATTTTTTAATTTAAATTATTCATCTAAACTAGGACTCGTTTGAAAATTTACTATTTTAATTAATTTTTTACGAAAAGGCATGTAAAAAATTAAAGAAAATAATGGGATTGGATGTTTTAGCTTTTTAGCTATTTTAGGAAAACAAAAAAGAAAAAAACTCACCCCAAACAAGGCCATTGTAAGTGTATAAAAAATTTTAAAAGTTAAGGAAAAACAACATGCAGGTGAGAGTAACACTTGCACCTTCACAGCCTTTTATTTGCACCCCACCACAGACCCTTTCACCGTCATGTGTTTCTAACTTTTTTTTCCAACTCCCACCATAGTTTTTCAAAAGTTAAAACCTTAAGGGGATGTTTGATTGACAAGATTAGAGCATAGGATTGGGATTATTAATCCGTGGGCCCAATAATCCTGTATTTGTTTTAAAATTTTGTTTCAAGGTTATTAATTCAATAGATAATTAATCCAATAAACTTGTAGAATTATTAGTAATTGGGTAGGAGTGGGATTATGAGCTATTTTGGGAAGTGGGTTAAAAGCTACTTCCCAGATTTTAATCCATTTCCCTCTCTCACAAAAAAGTCAAAAAAATAACTTTTAACCATCTTCTCAAAACACCCCTTATATATCCTGAGCTGAGAAATAAAGTAAAAGACTCTTTTACCCTTAACTAAAAATTAAAAAAATTTATTATTTTTATATAATTTTATATTTTAGAAGGCTAAAAATAATTTTAAAATTTTTAAAAATATTTTTTGATATTTATTTTATCAAATTAGTTTATATTTTTTTTTAAATAAAAAATAAAAAACAAACCAAACATGGCCTTTGTATTTTGTATATTTATTTTGCTTTTATTTATTTATTTATAACTTTTTTGCAAAACTACGTTTATGAAGAAATTTTGATAAAGTAAAGATTGTGAAGAAATATTGATGGAGGGTAAGATTGGAAAAGAAGATAAATATAGTTGTAATCTTACATTCATATATTTTTTTTATCCAATGCAAATTAAACAATGAACAATGAGATAATTTATCCTACTAATCCAATTGAATAATGAATACCACACTAATTTGATGGGATTATTGATACTTTCACTATTAGTCTTGTGAATTAAACATAAGCCAAGTTTGGCATATTGTAAAAAAGTTAAAAAGTCAAAAAGTTACTCAAAAAATTAAAAAGTTAATACTATTCACCAAAAGTCAACAATTATGGCTACACAACGCCAAATTCTAATTTTTCCCTATAAATCAATTTTTATAATTTTTTATTACACATTTTTTCATAAAAAGTCAAAAAGTTAACCCAAACATCCATATTTTGTTCCTCAATTTTTTAGTCCAAAAAGATAAAAAGTACACTTATTTAGGACACCCCAAACAAATATTCTAATTTTTTCAAAAAAAAATTATTAATCAATGTGGACAAATTTGCTGAATTTGATATAATTTAATTGGGATTAGCTTGATTATTGAGGAATCCATTCCACAAGACATACTTTTCTTGTAGACCAACCACCTAAGATCTATTTTGATGGTTGATTCCACTTTTTTCTTCTTCTTATAGTATAGACATATAGTAATATTTAAGACAAAAAAATGGGTCTTAAATTATCATTGTGGGTAAAATTGTGGAACTTAAAAAAAATACAAGTTTTCTACAAACTAAAACTAGTCAAGAGCAAGCAACCTGGATCTAGAGACAAATACATCTATTCCATAACCAAAAAAGGAACTTAGCATATTAACAGAGTAGCTTGATAAAAAATAAAAATAAAAAACACCAAAAAACATAATTTTGAATTTTCAAAAATTATTTCCACCCCCCAAAAGAGAAAATCATCTAAAATTAATGAAACTTTTCCCCATTTATTTCACCATATTCCTTTTTGAAAAAAAAAAATTAAAAAAAAAATAATTTTTATTTTAAATATATTTATGTTAAATTTTTTGGTAAATTATACTGATCTCCTCGGAGATTTAAATAAAATACAGTAAATCTTATAATTTTGGCCTAATTATGTTGAGCTTTCTTAAAGTTTTAATTCACATAATATTTAACCCATTTTTTATTAATAATTCATTAGTTATATTGATGAAAAAATGATATTATCATCTCTTTTATTCTTTTTTTTTATATATTGAGTTTAATTGAATTTTTTGGAATAGTTTGAGGGATAAAATGGTGTTTTAAATAAAGTTTGGTGCTACGTAAGTGTTGACACCACATTTTATTTTTCTATCAATTATGGCCTCTTAATTATGGTCAAATTCGATTATGATTTGTTAATTAAGACCATAAATTATTTTTTAAGAATAACATTGGCCATATTTTTTATTATTATTATTCCTATCGACAAATATGTTGACATGACATGACCAATATGCTAATAATGTGGCATGAAAGAGATGATGATGTGGCTTGAAAAGATTAAATAAAAGTCAATAAAGATATCTGTTAAAATCAATTAAAAACCGTATGCTAAAATTTGGGGATCAACACCAAGTCGAAGCACAAAATTTACAAGTAGTTCCTATGAATATGGGATATGGTTGAGTGGAGCAAAGATCAAGAAAGATCATGGATTGATGACAACAACGTGAGATGGCCAAGCAAGTATAAAAAGAAAACTTGAGGAATGATAGAAAAGATCAATCATCAACCATCAAACACACTCATGCAGAGCTATTTAGGAGTAGTTCTAAATTAACCATTTTAGAAGTAGACTAAACTAGTAGCTTTTCCAACCCGTATTTTCTTGTTTAAGTTCTTGTAACTAGTGACAGGTGACAATTTATTCGAATTAATACATATTTTATTTTGTTTCATTTCTTCTTTATTTAATTACTTCTAGAGAAGTGCTTAATCTGTTTAAGAAATAGAACCCAATCACAAAATCTAATCTTCTAGTGTCACTACAACAAAACTAACTTTTTACGGCACCATATCAACGGCATACAATAAATGCGCGCCGTAGTTTCTCACTTTTACGACTTACTTTTTTTGCACATCGTAAATACTTTTTCAACCACGGCATGTCTATTGTGTAAGTCGTGAATGGTAATAACGATAATTTTTTTACGACTTGCAATGCACGCCGTAAATAATAAAATTTTCTACGACGTACATATGACGTGCTATTAATATATTACTTATACAGGACGCACGAAAAGTCACTTTTCACAGCACACACAACCCCTACCGTTAAAATATTATACTTTTTACGATGCACACAATACCTACTGTTAAAAATATTATACTTTTTACGGCGCATAATTTATGTTGGTATGACAAAAAAAAATAAGAGCCAAAATGAAGTTTATCGCGCCAATTCACCAAAATAAAAATATATATATATATATATTGAGAAAAGAACATACACATCAACTATTTGACTTCTAATAGATTCTAATCCTAAAAGGACTGGTTCAAAGGAAGTCAATCTCTTCGAGGGAGATTGATGGTACGACGACTCTGAATCTAAACAAAACCGACTCAAGAAGACTTCTTCATCAGAAAAACCCTTTTTGTCTCTGAAGAAACCAGTGATCAGTCAGACCTCAACACCAAATCCCCAATCTTCATCTGAAGATGATTCACGCTCCGAATCGGACTCCCCTCCCACCAATCCTCTCATCAAGCCTCTTGCTTTGAAACCCATGGAAGACAATCCTCCCAAGCTACTAAGAAACCTAGATCCAAGTCTAGTTCGGCGAAATTTGCAACAAAAGGGACTGCGACGAGCGAGAACAACAACAATCAGGAGTTGAAGAGTGCGAAGAAGAAAGCAGTGGATTCTGATGTGGTTGTTCAAGAGGAGTCGGCGAAGAAGACTGGTGATGATACGAAGAAGCAATTGTTTCAGAGGTTGTGGAGTGAAGATGATGAGATTGTGATTTTGAAAGGTATGATTGAATATACTGTGAAAAAAGGGTCTAATCCACTTGCTGAAAAGGGCCCCGTTCGGTAGACTTGTGAAAAAGTGATTATAGATTATAGCTTATAACTGTTAGTATAAGTTGTTAACCTGTTTCATGCAGTTGTGGGATTATGGATTTAAGTAGCAGAGTATTGTTTGGTTGATAAGCTGTGAAATAATTTTTTACTATATAATTGTCATTTTTGCCCTTATATGATATAAAAATGATTATTTTGTCATTTTTTTCAATTTTAATTTTAAAAAAGTTATTTCATTAATAAAAGTTAATATAATTAGTATTACAAAAATTATTACTTTCATTAATAGTATCAATTAGTATAAAATTATTTCATTTTTTCATTATAAATTAATTAGTGTCAATTAATGGCTTAATTAGCATCAATGCTTTTTTTTTTTTCTTCATTTATTTTTTCTTTTTCTCCTTATTTTCTTTTCTCTTCTTTCTTTTTCTCCTTAGTATTAATGTTGTGATATCATTACATTATTTTTCTTTATATTAATTTCAACTAGTTATTTAATAGAAGTTATATTAATTTTAATTTTTTTTCATTACAATTAATAGTATAACAATTGTTATTTTTTTAATTTAGTGATATTTCATTTTTTTTATTTTATTTAGTGATATTTCATTTTTTCATTTTTAGTAATTCATTTATTCATTTGACAAATCCTTTCATTTTTTTCAATTTATATCATTTTTTTTAGTGATATTTCATTTTTTCATTTTTAGTAAAATTATTTCATTTTTCATTATAAATTAATTAGTGTCAATTAATGGCTTAATTAGCATCAATTAATACTAAAATTGTTAATTAGTATAAATTAATATAAAATTTATTTCATTAATATAAAATTGTTAATTAGTATCAATTAATTAATATCAATTTAATATTATGATTTTTAATTAATTATTATTATTAGTATCAATAAATTTATTTCATTTTTAATTAATTATTATTATTATTTTTTAATTAAAAAAACACTGAAACCTCCAAAAAAACAACACTGAAATCCATCGCCAGAGACAAACCAACGCCGGAAAGAGAGAGAGCAGCAGCGAAGAACCAACGCGGGACGACGACGGATGGTTGATCGTCACCATCGATTGTCACGCAGTCAATCGTGACTCTAGGGTTCCAGATCGCGATCGTCACGCAGTCGATGGTTAGGGTTTCGATCGCGAAGCTTGGATTTCGATCGCGAAACTAGGGTTTCGATCGCTGAGAGAGAGAGAAAAAGGGAAAAGAGATCTGGTTCGCGAAGCTAGGGTTTCGATTGCCAAGCTAGGGTTTCGATCGCGAAGCTAGGGTTTCAATCGCTAAGAGAGAGAAAAGAGATCTGGTTCGTGAGTGTGAGAGAGAGGGAAAGCACTGATTCGTAAGAGAGAGAGAGGGGGGGGAGAGCACTGGTTCGTTGATCGCTAGAAATCGCCTCTCTCTCTCTCTCTCTCAAATAATGAACAATGATGCTCGGTGGTTTATATAATCGCAATTTGACAATACTTCAATTTAGTAAAGGGCATTTAAGTAATTTTGCTCCTCAATTTGTAGCGTCGCGCTTAAACTAAATAAATAAGAGGCCACTCAGCCAAAAAGTGATTTTAAGCTTTACAAAACATACCAAAACAGCTTAAAATAATCTATAAATTGAGTTAAGTAGCTTTTAAACTCTACCAAACACCCCGATGTATCTCTATTTTTGGATGTCTCTAGCAGAGAAGAAAACTATACATATGTTATTTATGCCTCCTAGGTGCTTGATAAAATGCCACTAAGAATGGTTGGTTCTTACTATACTTTTGTATTGTTTTCTTGTGGGTGTTTTTTTAATATATATATATATATATATATACTATTATTAAAAGTGAAACCTCATTTTCCCATGGTTTAAAGTGAAAATGGTTTGAAGGATTTTCATGGAAAAAATTTCCGCCTAAATCAACTTTAAACATTTTCTGTTGATTTTTGTTTTCCATTTTCTATCGTGCTCATACTAAATGTTAAATGAGGAAAACCTTTTCCCAAAAATGTTTTCTGTCCAAAAAAATGCAGTGGTGGTGATAGTCACTTATCGCTTCAAATAGCCATAGCCATCATTTTAGTTTGGTCAGTGAGTGAGTTGATACTCAGCATTTCCTTAATCCATTTTGATGTGTAGATTTTATTACATCAGAAAATATAAAAGCCTTTGCTTCATCTTGCATTACATCAAAGAATAAAAACTGTTTTGTGTACATCCCCTGTCATGAGTGTCTAACTGAGAAAGATTTTACAATGCACTTCTTTTCTCTACTGATCTTCATACATTCTTAATAGACTGCGAGTCTTGAAAAGCTATGTCAAACAAGAAGTGAAAATATTCATGAAGAAGAATCGAAGAAAGTTGGTCTCTGGCAAAGGAGGAAGCTGCCAAGTCTAAAGCAGCAAAGGATGTTATGAAAGATTTGACACTGAAGGTAATATACTATTTTCTCTGTTGGTTAAATGCCACACGTTTCTAAAACCTCGGGTTATTAAGCTTTGAGAATGCCTTTTTTCCTAGAAATGGACAAGACATATGAGCTTCATTAAGCATATCTATATTTTCCAAAAGTGTATCATAGTGATCCTATAATTCGTATATTTAATAATGAGAAGCCTTATCTGTCAAAACTAATATAATATATATCACATGGTAAATTTCAAAGATTTTTATTTTATTTTTTGTAATAACAATAGTTTTTTTATATCACTCTATATGACACCTGATTCATCCTTCTTTTGTGTTTATTGCATGTTAAAAGATAATTTCAGATAAAGTAACAATAGGTGTAAAAACACTTAACTTGGGTCTTTTGGCAGAGCGACCCAGATTTGGTTTTTGGAGGGATCACAATTGTCTCTGAAATATTAAGAACAATAGCCAGAGGTTTTGTTCTGGATAAAATGACTAACACAATCCCCAATGCTTTTAAGGTAAACACTCTCAATGGTTGGCTTTAGGATTACCGTTCTGAATTTTGATTTATTGAATTTTTACTTTATCATATTGAGTAATTATTTTTCCTGTTCGAAAATTCTCTGTTCAGATGTGTGATCCATGCTAGTTCACCATTCAACTAGTACTTTGTCCTTCAATATTCCTTTTAAATTTTACTTCAGTAAAATCTGTTTGCTGTGGCAGTTTAAGTCTTCTTATAATAAACTAAATGTTTGAATGAATTTCTTATCAACTTTAAAGTAGATGCATGAGTACCTTTATATGAATCTTTAAACCCCAACCTTTGGCACATGATGATGAGTGTGTTTGAACTTAACTCCCGGGCACATACATTTTTTTACTTTTCTCAAAGATCTAGAACCCTTTATTTGTGATCTAAGATATTGGTTTCCGATTCAAGTCGCAATTTTTTCTTTTTTCATTTATCTCCTTGTCATATATTTTCCATTGATTTGTTGCAATTTCATCAAAATTTCATTGGAGACCTTTTTTGAAGGCTATAAATAAATTATCTTGCATGATACAGCTTCACTAATTGGTAGAGCTGGGGATTGTACCCCCAACTTCAGTGAGCTGGACATAAGGGCTTGACACTAGGCCAAGAGGCTCATTAATGATTTGTTTTGTCTATACAATTGGTGTGAACAGCCTTTTTGGGCATTTTTGCCCTTCTTTTTTAAGTTATTCTTTTGCATTTTTTTGCATTTTTTTATATAGATAGCATCATTTCAATCTTCCTATTCTCCTTGTGTGAGTTTCCCATTTTTTGCTGCTTCAATGCTTTCTCCTACTCTCTCATAATCTCTCTTCTCTTGTGTCTAGAAAGAATACATACGAATTTTTTTGCATCAATTTAGCTAACTATCCAAAGCTTCATGAATTTTGTAACAGTACCATGTGTTGAAAACTCAAACAGAGACTTACAGGAAGTAGGTTAGTGCATCATCTAATAGTAATTTTAGAACATGCAATTGTTTCTAGCACTTTTTTGTTGTTCCCATTTACAAATACTCTGTCATTTGTAATTACTTATTAGTCTTTCTTCTTCTTCTTCTCCGTAGTTACATTACATTTCCTATTTAGCTTCCTCACTCATATCACTCTCTCGCTAGTCACAAAATCAATTAAGCTAGTCACAATTATTTTATAAGAGAATTTATTGATTATTCTGAATTTATTCTTTTTGGTTGTGTAATTTTGAGGTTTTTTTAATAAAGAGTTCTTGGATTAAGTTTTGTACAAATAGAATTTATGGAGTTATTTGATAATTGATCTTAACAAATATTGAAAAATAACTCTCTCACTAGGACTATGTGCGCGCGCAATGTACATCTATATAATTTTGTTGATATTGGTGTGGTGCCAAAGTTAACAATGATCTATTACCTTCTACCTATTTCAGTGATGATTAATCTCTTCCCATTACTATTACTATTACCTTCCACCTAATATTAGTAATGCCTTGTAATATTAGTAACCTTATAGGCCTTCTTCACCCAAGTCTTGTTGTGAAAGTGAGGGTTACAATAGCTCTGATGAACAGAACCCTTCATTTGGATCCTCCTATGGTGATACAGTAAGATCTGTTATGTTTTTCTCTTTTCTCTTTTCATTTCTATTTTTAGTTTATTTACAAGTAAATTGTTCATCCACAAGCCCTTGTTGGTTATTGATATTCATGCACTTAGCAATCAACATGGTGATATGTAGAGGTTTTTCTTTCCTTACTATGGTTTATGTCAAGATTGTTGTACTAAATGCAACTGCTCATTACCATATGAGCTAAAATCTTCTATTCTTCTTTGTTAGAATTTACCACTCACCTACTACCTCCACTATCTTTCTCCACACCTACCACCTCCACTATCACACACTCCACTACCATCCACCTCCACTATCACACACTCCACTACCATCTTCTCCTCTATATATAGGAATTGTAATATACAGAATATATAACAATCTTGTAATCAATCAATCAATATTACATAAGTTTTAACATTCTTCTTCTTTATTTTCTTTTTTCTTTTTTTTTCTTTTGCCATTTTTCAATCTATATTTTCTTGGATTGTAACTACTTTTTTCAATCAGTAACTTCAATAAGCAGATGTTCCTTAATTACTAATATTGTAGACTTGAGTTATCCTTCTCCAGTTAAACATTTAAATATGGCATATCAATTGCATCTGAAATTCAAGTATCCTTATTTTATTTTATTTTTAAAAATAAAATGATTCAATGAATTTTACAAGTCATGATAAGATTAAAAAAATGTTTTGCTTCCCTGTTGTATCTAAGCATCATAGGTAAATAAAGTTTTTTAACTTTCTAATGCACTTGATGTTTTATTTCCAATTTATGATGGGACTTTCTATCCTAATTCATCTTACTCATTTACTAAGTTCATGGTTTTCTTCAAATTTAGTATTATAAAATTGGCTAATTGCTTTTGTTTTAGGAGAGAGAACGCCAATTTGAGATTGATATAAGAAGGGCACAAGGGTTAGAAGTCAAACGAACGCTGGAAGATGGGAACTGCCTCTTTTGTGCTGTTGCAGATCAGCTGTATGGGGACTCTGATGCGTATGATTTGGTTAGACACATGTGCATTGATTATAAATTTATATGGTATGACTATTCTTATGTGACTTCATATCCTTAGAAGCTAAAGTATACATGTTCATCTTTCATCTTTATGTGATTCCTATCTTTCATCTTGTTAGTGGTATGCCTACTAAATGGAATATTATGTGTCAACCTAGAAAAAGTGGGATGCTAGTTTATTTGTTTCCTGACACCTCCAAAAAAATAAAATAAATAAATAAATAGAATTGTTAAAGAAATGAAAAATACCATGCGAAAAGATAAAGTAGAAAGAGAAAAATGCAAAGCAGAGTGACTCTGTTTTATCTTCAGGGTATATCTAGAAATTTCCTTACGAGACACATTCTAGAATGATATACTTTGTGAGCTATTTTTTGAATTTTTTGATTGGTTGATTGAGCTATATTATTTGCCATTTGTTGAAATCTAATACTATTACAAGCTGGGAAAGGAGTTACAGAGTAGAGGTGTTAGAATTCTTAATTCCTGGTTAGCAGTTCCTTTACTTCTTCTGAGTTGCTTTGGAAGGTTGGTCCTGTCTTGACTAGTAGTAGAAAAAAAAATTATTGTCTGGTAAGGATAGGTAGTGTATTGCAGGTCGTCTAGGACTCAAGGTCTTTTGTATGAAGTTGTGCCCTTCATTTCCCCTAATCATTTCTTGCAGGTCTTGCTAGTACATGTTTAGAGATGTTGCGGGTTAAAGTGACTGTGAGATCTATATGCTAGGTTCCTTATATGTGAGTGTTGTGAGGCTGTTTATACTAACTGTTTTGTTTGTAGGCTGTACAGCTGGTCTTTCTTTAGGGAAGGTGTGTTGAGTGATGTAAGTCAGATATTGCTAGGTAGTCATACTTGTGTGGAGCTGGTGAGACTTGTGGGTTGAGTGATGTTGAGCATGTATATATATATATATTCTCTAATGTTTGTTGTGCAGATTGGCAAGCTGGTACATATTGTGAGGGAATTTTTTGTTTGTGAGCATGTATTTTGTAGTGTTTTATGTGAGTTGAGAGTGTGGGTTGAGTGGCTAAGGACTATATTGTGTGTTTGTTCTCAACCCATTTTGTTCTTTCCTTTTGGTCCTCACTGGTGGTTGTTATACTATTCAAAATGGGTCTCTCATGTGTTCAACACCCCCATAGCCCCTGTTATGTGGCGGTTGAACATATGTAATCCTATGTTTGAGTGGTTGGTTCTAGTATGGAGCTTAACTTTATTTTTATTTTTTTTGGTTTTCTTTTTTACTAATGTTAAATTCAATGTATAAAGAAAGAAATACAGAGAGAATAATATATCTATTGATGTATTATTGATTGTTATCTGTTTTGATGTATTGTATGTACATTATATAGGAGATGGAGATGTGAAGTGGAGGTGGAGTGGTGGAGTAGGTGAAGTGGAGTGTGTAGTGGAGTAGGTGAAGTGGAGGTGGAGTGGTGTAGTGGGTTAGGTTTAGTGGAGTAGGTTTAGGTGTACATTAACAGCAAACTCAAGGAGGATAGGTACTAGCCAACTTGAGTTTGGAGAGAGTAACAAAACAGAAAAATAAACTGATAAATAAAAAATGGGATAGGAGACACTGTATGGTCGTGTCGGACCGTTGTAGAAGACAGTTTACGGGGTCATGTCGAACCGTTGTAGCAGACACTGTGTGGTCGTGTCAGACCGATGTAGAAGACAGTTTACGGGGTCATATCGGACCGTTGTAGAAGACAGTTTACGGGGTCATGTCAGACCGTTGTAGCAGACACTGTGTGGTCGTGTCAGACCGATGTAGAAGGCAGTTTACGGGGTCATGTCGGACCGTTGTAGAAGACAGTTTATGGGGTCATGTCGGACCGTTGTAGCAAGACAGTTGACGAGGTCATGCCGGACCGATGTAGCAGGACAGTTTACGAGGTCATGCCGGACCGATGTAGCAGACACTGTGTGGTCGTGTCGCCGGACCGATGTAGCAGGACAGTTTACGAGGTCATGCCGGACCGATGTAGCAGGACAGTTTACGAGGTCATGCCGGACCGATGTAGCAGGACAGTTTACGAGGTCATGCCGGACCGATGTAGCAGACACTGTGTGGTCGTGTCAGACCGATGTAGAAGACAGTTTATGGGGTCATGTCGGACCGTTGTAGCAAGACAGTTGACGAGGTCATGCCGGACCGATGTAGCAGGACAGTTTACGAGGTCATGCCGGACCGATGTAGCAGACACTGTGTGAAAGGGATTGATAAAAGCTGACCGTTGTAGAAGACACTGGATGAGTGTGTATATAGGCTGCCCAAAAGATATACATGGATATATATATCGCGCCCTCAAAAGGCGTGCCCAATCCTTCAAAAGGCGTGCCATCAAAAGGCGTGCCCAATTCATAAAAAGGTGTGCCGGACATTATGGCGAGGCGCGTGACTACCTTGGCTTGCACGCCCGTTTTGTCGTCTGTCGGCAAGTGGCGCGCGATGCGCGGATCGGCCCTGGCTATTTAAACCAAGGGTGAGGCGGAGGCTGTGCAAACCAGTCTGAAACCTCTGAACTCTCGGAGAGCTTGTCTCTAAGAGCTGCAAATCTTGAAACACTCTGTAACCAACCCTGTCTGACAGTACCAATCGGTAATCGCTGCTTCTCTGAAACACTTAGCAACCCAAAAACATGGCCTCGTCTTCCCGTATGTGACTTTTGGCGACCAATATTTTGTTAGCCAAAAGTGACATTTCTTGTAGTGTAAAATAGTTATGTTTGGGAAGATGGTTAGATTTTTTTTTTTGATTCGATGTAATATTTGTGAGAGAAAACGTGAAATGGTCATGGGTTTGATGTGACCTTTTGTTTTATTAACTATTTTAGCTTATTTTGTTTTTTTATTTTGTTTTTGTTTTTATTTTTGTTTTTGTTTTTGTGAATTTTAGCCCCAAAAAACCCAAACCCAACTTGCCAAACACCCCTATAGTAGTGTTTGCTCTTACAAAACTTATCCGAAATTCTCAAAAACTTATCCAAAATTCTCAAATCTCAATTATTTGGAGAAAAAAATTGGAATGTATATGCTTCTCTTTGTGCTTTGATTGCGCTACAAAATTATTCTTTATCTTTCCACATCACAAAAATTTCTTATTCTATTTTGATAACATTTTTGCATCTGGATTAAGATTGCACCAAGATTAAAAGCATTACAAATATCTATTATGGACACGTGGCATGTTTCATGAGAGAAAGATCCATTACAAAACAGTAAATAAGTAATTAAGAAGTTGATAATTATAGATTAATTTTACATACTGAGAAAAATAATTAAAAATTTGTTTAAAAACACATAAAACAGTCATGAGCTCCACCTTCCTCTGTTCTTATTTTGCCATGCATGCTTCTTATATGTTTTATTTCTTTCTATCTTTTAATATTACCCACCATTTGACATGGAAATTATAATTTTTTTTATAAGCATGTAGAATTACTCATAAATATATATATGTATATTGAATTATCCACCACCAAATTATCTAAAAATTTGACAAAACACATTTGCAATGTTATATTTTTTTGATAGTTGACGCGTCGGGATTTTCCATCCATTTCCCAAACTATTTGAGAAACCCAAGTTCCTAGTCTAAACTATTCCACTGTACAAAAAAGTATATGCTTCTTGTTTTACAAGGACTAATACAAAAAGTATCTTCTCCCCCCACTTCACACTCCATTCCCTATTCCATTAAACATAGAAGAACCATTTTTTGCATGAGAAAACCCAAAGATTGTAAAAGATTGAGAAAAACTATATTCTCATTGATATCTATGGGTAATTATTCAGTAATCTCGGAATATAAATACGTAATTTGGTAGAGAAAATTGGTAAGTGGGTAATTGTGTTGAGTGATTGAGAAATATGAGGGACATATTAAATAAAGATTGGTTAAAAAATACAGGCACGTAATGCTCTGAAAACATTTTATAATTTCCCGATATCCACATGGCCTGTCTCCTCTAGTGAGAAAGGGAGACTGACACACCATATGCTCTGTGCTTACTCTATATTCCATGTTTTATTCCTTCGAAAGCTATCAACATGGCAACTGTCAAATGAACTGTTTGATTACAAAATAAAAGATAAAACAACATATATTTTTGTCTAAGATAACAAAGAACACAAAAATATACATAGTTCGATGTCGGCTGGTATTTTTTGAAATTTTCTTTTGGGTATATGATATTTTTGTTTTCTAAAACAGTCAAAACAATTATCCAACTTAAAAGCTTTCTGGGTCAAGAATCAAATCCCATATGTGTGAACACCCAAAAGCTTTTAATCCATGTGTACATAATAATAATCTTCACCTTAGGTTAATCTTTTTGATATATCTAGATAGAGCTGTGAATTAACCTTTAGTCTTTGATGACTTGGGTGTGTTGTCGTCACAAGATGATGTCTTGTCCCAGTAAGGATAGGGATAATTCTCAACCGACCTTCAACTATGACAAAAAAGAACTGAAATAAACGAAACCAATTAGAGAATCAAATACAGAATACATGTAAACGAAAGAGATTCTTTAAATGTGAATCTCAAAATTTTATTCATTCATAAACAAGAGAGAGGAAAGCAAGAGGGGTTTTATGATGTGTGTTAAATTCAATGTATAAAGAAAGAAATACAGGGAGAATAATATATCTATTGATGTATTATTGATTGTTATCTGTTTTGATGTATTGTATGTACATTATATAGGAGATGGAGATGTGAAGTGGAGGTGGAGTGGTGGAGTAGGTGAAGTGGAGTGTGTAGTGGAGTAAGTGAAGTGGAGGTGGAGTGGTGTAGTGGGTTAGGTTTAGTGGAGTAGGTTTAGGTGTACATTAACAACTAATATCAACTTCTTTATGTTGCCTTTCAGATTGAACTGAAGACTGCACCAGCTGATTTTTTATTTCCTACAACCAATTAGACCAGACACTGTTTCACTCACTACATTGAGTTTCACAGGCACACTTTTTTAGTATTATATCATTTTGAGGCATTCATGAATGAATGGGCTCTATATGAAGAGTTTTGAACATCTTACCAACTTATTATTGAACTAAGCAATTGCCTTTTTTTATATTTTTTTTATTCTTCAATCAAAAACTACAACTGCTTAGCAGCAAAAAGAGAGAAGTCTAATGAATGTCAAAGGTTTGCCAAATATTACCGGTCCTTTGCCTAGGTGAATGGGTGAGTGCCATTGCTGTTAAAATAACTTTTTTCTTGGTTTGTTCTGACTTGGCAATTTCTTCTAATATGTTTGGACGCATTATGGTAGATAGGCTTAATGAGTTATATTTTGTCCTGTTTGCACAGATGATGAACTGACTACTGTAACGTCCTCAAAATAAACCCATCATATATTCTTGACATGCTCAGACATAAGAGAATAAAGCATAATTATGTTTTATCAGAGTATTCATTACAAAATGTATTACATGTTGACAACAAAAGTACAACTTTCCAAGCCAACACTTGGTTACGAAAGAGTGAGTATTAACTCAAAATAGATAATAAGTCATTGGCTTGATATACATGTAATACAAAAATGTAATCACAAAAGATGTCCTAGCCACTAAGCCTCTCAAGCTACATCCTTGGAGGTGGCATGTTATCTGCACCTAAAAATGATGTCCCATATAGGGTGAGCTAACGTCCAGTAGAAATATGCTAAACATAATATGAGCAATAACTAAAATATTAACATTTGATAAATGTTTATCTCACACCAATCAATTTATAACCCATTTCAATTACATGACATATGTGTCTATGTTTCATCCCATTTTCCATTTCTTATTCAATTTCTCAATTCATAACCATGGCTCAGAACCTGGCCAAATGATTAAAATGAGGTTACATCTCATATTAACAGTACTTCCATTTCAATTGAGATAACAACTCAAATTAAACACTTTATACTTCACATTAGATACACATAATTGTTGTATCAATCTCAAATAAAACACTTTCATACTTCGTATATGACACACAGATTTGTTGTATCAATACCTCAATAGATACACATAATTCTTGTATCGATGGAGTCCATCTCCTATCTCCTCCCAAACAATATCCGGTTTAGGAGTCCATCCCCTATCTTCCCCTAAACCATGGAGTACATCCCCTATCTTCTCCCACACAACACAATGTATATAAACATATATCATATACATAAGCAATCAATACGTAATTTGATGTATTATTCCAACCGTCATATTCGATGACATATTCAATTG